CAGGTACAAGTGATTCCTAACTTTCAATCACTTCCTTCACATCCCCATGAACATCAACATCTCAAGGACAGACTGTTCAGCTGTAATCAGTGTCTTGTTGTTTATTTAGATTATTGTTATTTGTTATCCACGGTCTCGGTCTCGGTCTCGGTCTCGGACCATTTCGGTCTCGGTCTCGGTCCGCTTTGAAGGGGCTGGTCTCGGTCTCGGTCTCAGTCTCGCAACTTCAGGTCTCGGTCTCGGTCTTGGTCTCGGACTATCCGGTCTCGACTACAACACTGATAGGATCCCCATTAAACAAACAATAACTTGATTTTTGAATAAGGTTTTTACCACTGATAACAAAAAGTAACGACTCCCCCCAGTGGCGGTTCTACAGGGGGGGGGGGGGGCTGTATCCACCCAAAAAAATAAAATTGTCTAGCCCCCCGCCCCCCCCCCCCCTCAAAGAAAATCGGCCCCAATACGAACAGTCTCCCCTAAATAAATAGTCGTGGGAAGGGTGTATTTGAATAGTATGCCTAATTGTAGGATTTCATCAGCGCTCCCCATTGAAAATATGGCACAATGAATATGAATATCATGTGCGGACCCAGATAGGTTACTGCCGGGGGCGGAGGGTGTACGGTGTGCCAAGGGCCCAAGGGCTGATCCAAGGGAGGGGGGGGGGGAAGAGGCCGGGCCATGCCTCTTCCACCAAAAAAAAAAAACGAACCCAATTTCTTTTTTGGGGGTGACGTCACAAACAAAGGTAGCACAGCACCATCTTTTCCTAAAATATAGGTTTTTCCGGCCAATTTCACCAAGTTGTCATTGAATTTAATGCCTGGCTTATTCGATTTAGATTGAAATTGAAAGATCACGCAGATCGGTATTTGACAATCAAAAAGAATTATTTAATTTCACTATCCGAGCATTCTATCGCTTTTTAGCTTCACTCGTCCCTATCAAAGATGCATTCATTTAAAAGTATCGCGTTGTTCATTCAATTTCGTCTAAACCAGCATTCGTTTTCATTAATGGGCAAATATATGTTACATTTTGTCAAACATCTTTTAAGACTTCATACGTGTCCGTATTCCTTAGCGTAAATCATATATGATGACTTCAGTCCGTAGTTGCCTTTCTTTCTTAATTAAAGGGTATGTGCACTGAATTTTTGTAAAATATGTTTGCCCATTAATGAAAACGAATGCCCGATCAACCCCTTACTGCTGGTTAGGACGAAATTAAATGAACAACGCGATACTTTTAATATGAATGCATCTTTGATAGGGACGAGTGAAGCTGACAGGCGATAGAATGCAAAAAGTTGATGCAAAAAGTTGATGTCCTCACTAATTTTTCCAACTTTTCACCTGAAGTTTTCTTATGATTTTGAGGATTCTGTATTTATTTTGAATTCAACTAACTTTAACCTTCCGGCAACTCTGGGAGGAAAGGTCAAGCATGTTAATGAAGGTATGGCCTATCAGATTTGCAAAGTATAGGTTTTCCCGGCCAATTTCCATATTTTTTTTCCTGATCATTTTCTTCATCAGCCATTCAATTTTGCGTGATGTTTTACACATATCTGATCAAATTGGGGTTTCTTTTTTATTGTTTGGGCATTCAATTTTAATTTTTAGGCACCCAAGATTTTGATCCAAATGTTCGTTTTCGTTTATGGGCATTCTATTTCGTTTTAGTACGTTCAAATTTTAGGCTGACAATTTGAACAGAAAACCTCTAGCTGAACAGACCCTTTCTGAATTGGCATCACAGCAACAGCGTCTTCAGTAGTCTGGAAAAGCATGGAAACGTTTAACTGTTTAAAGAAGTGCACTTTGCAATAAGAGTATATACCAAAAATGGATGTCGAATAGGTGTCATGCATTTAAGAGGAGTCAAAAGTTGCAGAAAATGTGTCCCCTTAGATAAATTCATTGCATGGACTCTTTAAGAAAGAGAGGTGTGCATCTACGGATTGAAGACGTCTGATGTAATACGCAGAGATAATTCAGAATTTTATAGGAATACGGGCACACACAAAGATGCTTGATAAATGTACAATATGTTTGCCAATTGATGAAAATGAATGTCCGATCAACCCTTACTGCTGGTTCAGACAAAATTGAATGAACAAGACGATACTTTTAGAATGCAAGGATAGTGAAATTGAATGATTCTTTTTGATGGTCGAATGACGATGTGAGTGATTTTTCAATTTTAATCTAAATTGAATGAGCCAGGCGTTACATTAAATAAAAACTTGGTAAATTGGTCGGGAAAACCTATATCAACATGATTGTTTATTATTTGTCCATGAGTTAAACAAAATGACGATTTGTTAATTTGATACCCGATGACGTCATGATGATGTACCCTCTGTATCAGGGTTGATTTTCGTTCCAAGTCTCAAGTTCCTGCTGGGAACAGGTTGAAGAAAAGTCGCTGAGAACGACGGTCCGGGGAAAAGAAAGAAAAGCTAGAACGATTCTAAAACGGTAGCCGGGTTGTGGCAGATTCCCCAAATACAAATATAGGCTGCCGTACTCAGGGATAATTATTTTCACCAAAAGCGTGATCACTGAAGCCTTTCTGTATTTTATGTTATGTTATTTATAATACATTAACCACCGGAATACACACAAAGGAATGCAGTCATCAAGCGCTTTCTTTCTGCCTCATTGCTAGTTGATAGGTTATTCAATATGAATTGAATAATTTTCCTCAATCGTGGATTTTTGTTATGATGATTTTGCACTTAAATGCAAGGCCAGTAGAATCGGACTAACAAGAGAGTTACTGAGACCTCATAGTCTGTACATTCATGTACATCTTCCTGATCCGAAAGTCACAGGGAGCAATAATATTTGGAAGAAGCAAAAAAAATATTCAAACGATATGAGTCAGGGAGGTACTGATAAAGGGGGTGATTCAGTCGTTGGTTAATGAGTATGAAGACAAAAAATGGATCAATGCCTTTTTAAGTATGAAGAAGTCAGCCAAGAATAGGCCTTCCTTTTCAATACAGTTTTTCCGGGAAAATTCCGAATTGTTCTAATCAGTTTCATTATCAGCAATTAAATTTCGCGTGAGTTTTGCACATGTGGTCAAATTGGATTTTCTTTTTCATTTTGGGTTCATTCAATTTCATTTTTAGGCAGCCAAGATTTTGCTCTGAATGTTCGTTTTCGGATATCCTATTTCGTTTTTGTGCATTGAAGACTTAATTTGTAGCAGTCTTAGGCCAAAAAAAAATTGTCGGTCTCTGGTCAGACCGAAGTTCCGGAATTGATGCGGCGACGCGTTTTTTTTTTTTGGTGGCCTTTTTTTTTTTTCAAGCTTGAATTGTACAGACAATGCGGGTACTATTTTGCTCTTTTGTGTCCTCATTATACATTGGTATCCTCCATAATTTGCCTTGGTACCCTTTATCATTTGCCTTGGTGCAATTTCCCCATTCCTGGGTGCTCCTTGGTACAAAAGTTTGAGGAGGTGCGGCAATAGAGGGCGCTATTGTAGCTTCCGTGTTAATTTAAAGAAGAAAAAAAGGGTTGACGCGCATGATTAAAATCGACGCGCGCGCTGACCAGAGACCGAGTATTTTTTTTGGGGGGGGGGCCTTAAATTTAGTCTTTGCAACCTTTTGACGGTTGCCGCATTCAAATTAGCGAACATCCGTGCGCTTATGACGTATGACCATGCTTTTCGTTTCTTATTCGTTTATGGGCAATTGCTTTCATCGTTTGGTCATTTAAGTTAGTAAGATGTTTTAATCGATATATTTTCCTATTTTCCTCCGAGGTTCATTTCCCCCCAAAATGTTGATGACTACACAATTTGCAATGTTACAAATTATTTGATATGAGGGGAAACAACATGTAACGAAATATTTAATTGAAAGGGTCTAAGCAGGCGCGGTTCTAGAACCAATATTTTTTGTGGGGGGGGGGGGGGGCTAGCACGGTGGATCCAATTTTTTTTCAGGGAGGCGTGCTGAAATGTAGACCGGTTATTTTTTCCAGACACTTAAAATCATTCACACTATATTAATAGAGTGGGAGCCCAGAACATTTATTCATGGGAAAAGCGCCAAAGCAGTCGACCTCATAGGGTGAAAGGGTATCATGGGGACATCACAAAAATGCATTGCTGCCGGGTCGAGGGCGTGGCCTAAGGTCCGAAATGACGTAATAAAGCACCGCCATTACCGAAAATCCCTATTTTGACAATATCTCAAAAACTATACATGGTAATATCACAAATGTGGTCTCTACACCTATGTTTTTGTGGTCAATCTTTACGTTGAACACCATTATAGTGCCTGAAGATGTGTAGTTTATCATATATCATCTCAATTCGCACCACCATTACCGAAAAACCCATTGTTTGTGCGATATTACGAAAACTATACCAACAAAGGCATGTCTACACCTATGTTTTTGTGGTCAAATATTATGTGACAAAATATCTCCTGAACTACAGGTCCGATTTGGTTGAAAGTTGGTATGTACCTAGACTGAGATGTTTTATAGAGGAAAATTGAAGTGACGTCACGATAACGTCATCATGGGTCACGTGACGTCACGTTAAAATTAATAGATCTTTGAAAATCAATATAAATTTAACCGTGAGAGACCTGAACTTGACGTTTGCAGGAATCGATAGAATAATCCAGGGTCTTAATTGTTATATATTATGTGCGTTTAATTTAAAATTGGTGAAAGATGTGAACTTGCTTTCAACGATGTATGCTATGGCTAAGTTGTTATTTACAAACAAAAATATAGTAATAGATGAAAATTGTTGTGACGTCATCATGACGTCATTACGTCACATGTGACGTCATAATTCAAAGCCCTACGGGAATGTAATCACACATTGTATGCCACCAGTTATTATCAACAGAACTACACATTCTTCCTGGATGAAACTTGTACTTCAAACTTTACATGTCACATGTCACAAAAAATACCGAAGCAGCTCTCCGTCATTTTGTGTCTCTGATGATGAAGATGAAGTACCTTTTGGTAGCTCATTTTGCCGTGGTGGCCCAGTGCTGCCTGTTTGCTGCAGCCGCACACGCCCACGGGGACCCCGACTCGGTTCTCGAAGCAGCTCTCCGTCCGTTGTATAGTCAACTGGACGTCTTTCGAGACCAACTTGACGCGGTCAAAGTGCTTGTTCATGTCCCCTGTAAGAAAGGTAGGCTTAGGTGCGATTTTTTTTATGTAGAGATACTTTTTGGAATGCCGAAACAGCTTTTAACTTCGTCCCGTTGGTTGTGTTGAGGATGGGCTTTTAGGCTGATGTATAGCGGCGTCTTAACACCAAGTTAGTAAAAATCGAGCGTAGCGTTCGCCCCAAAATAAATGTCAAATTGTTCGACCCGGGATCTCCAAAACAAAATCCAAAGACCGTATAGAGTACGTACTTTTGACGGCAGTGGCGTAGCCACGGGGGGGGGGGGGGGGGGGGGGCGTGGAGGGGGGGGGGCGACCGCCCCCCATGAAACCTTGTCGCCCCCCAGTCGCCCCCCCCCCCCCCCACTGAGATTTTGAGTTTCTAAAAAAATTATCATTGATCTACATGACGCCATGGGCGTCAATCCTGGGGGGGGGGGGGGGGGGGACAGGGGGACATGTCCCCCCCCCCACCTTTTGAAGTGTGGGGGACACAATATCAAATGTCCCCCCCCCCCCCGATTGTTGAACTCGTGTCTCATTTACAGGGCCCTATTATGTACTACAATGTATCTTTTGCTTAGAAAATATAGGTTAAAGTGGTCAGAAATTGCCTCAGATAGCACCACAGTGCATTTAGAATCCAAAGTTTTTCGGGGCCCTTAAGCGGGCCCCGAACCCCACGCCTATAGCTCAGAATTCTGGTAGCTGATTCAATGACTCCAACCTCGAAAACAATGTTCACAAAATTTTCTTATGCCTTTAGCTGAGAAAACCTCGAAAATTATGTTTAAATTATTATCTTTTGTGCTAAGATAATTATTGGTTAAAGTGGTAAGAAATTGCCTCAGATCACACCACAGAGCATCGAAAATCCAATTTTTTTCGGGGCCCTTAAGCGGGCCCCGAACCCCACGCCAATAGCTCAGAATACCGATAGCTGATTCGATGTCTCCAACCTAGAAAACGATGTTCAAATAATTATCTTTTGCCAAGAAAATATTAGTAAAAGCATGGAGGAAAGTCGTAAGAAATTGCTTCAAATCACACCACAGAACATCTAGAATCCAATTTTTTTCGGGGCCCTTAAGCGGGCCGTGAACCCCACGCCGTAAGGGCTTCGCGCTTCGCGCTTGCATCAGTTATGATCAAGGTATGTCCCCACCCTCCCCTCTTTTGAGAAGCGATTGACGCCCCTGCTTGACGCCCCCCCATGAAATGTTCCAGCCCCCCCAGCGGCCCCCCCCCCCCCCACTGAAAAATTCCTGGCTACGCCACTGTTTGACGGACATGAGGAACACTATCATGATGATCATAATTTACAAAACACTTCGATGGAGCTCCAACGTCAATGCATCAGTTTGTTCATTAGACGTACCAAGTTTCATATTCTTTCTAAGATCATGAGAGGGCGTAATCCGCCCCGGCTGTAAAGTCCATGTACAAAAACGACTCTTTTGGAAAAAGACAGGTGCGATTATTAACGATATACCCGACCCTGAATGAATGTATTTATCAAAACCTGCCACAGATGTTTTGGAGTGCTCTGAGGCTGGACCCCTTGGGATGGAAGATGGTCGCATCCCTAATGCAAGCATCACAGCTTCGTCATTTTGGGGCAACCTGGCCGACCATGCACCCAGAAAGGCTCGGCTTAACACTGAAGGTAAATTGTTATTTTTATTTCATCCACCAACATCACATGGGACAAAGCGTAAGACAAGTCTAACAGTAGGAATTTAAAGCGATAATACGTCAAAGGTGACAACAATTGTCAAAAGTTGAAGTGGCTCTACCGTTGTTTTTCCAGGGGGGGGGGGGGTGATTGCGTGGGGTCCCTACCCCGAGAACCATAATTACCACACTATGTAAGCATGACCGCTGCCTTGTACAGTGCTTGAAGCACATGTGCTAAGAATCATTTTATGCTTAGCGGATTTGATTATCTGCTTACTCTGTAGTCTATGCTGCTAGCTGGGTTAGTGCAGGAAGTAGTGACCCAAATCCGTGGATTCAAGTCGACTTCGGTTGCATTGTGATCATCACTAGCCTCATCACTCAGGGGCGTGGCGATCAACGTGACCGTCAATGGGTGACTGAGTTCCAGGTTGCGTATAGCAACGATGGCCAGGAATGGACTAACGTCAACGCAGAAGGAGAAAGTGCACCGACAAAGGTTAGTAATTAATTACATTTCTATTAATGAAGGACATAATAAGTCATATTTATGAATGAATTAGGGCGCTCTAACGACAGAGTATGGGCTACAACGATGTGAGTACCAGGTTGTTGACAATGATAATTTATAATGATATTACTACAGTTTAAACAAAAATATTTTCCCAATCTTACAGTTTAAAGTATTCTTAATATAGCGTTTACAAAATATTGCTTTACAAAATATCGAAACCACATAAAAAGTAAACCAGTTAGTTAAAAAGTAGTAGTTAAAATTATACCTTAAAAAACTGTCTTAAGCTATCATTTAAACATTTTCAATTTCGTAATGTTTATTGCATAATGTTGTAATAAAGCTTCAACAAATGAGATTGTCCTGAGACCCAGATTTGAAACAAAAATATGGTGATAATTTCCTCTAACATTGAGTTCAAATTTCACGTTCGGTCATCGGGGTGAGTACCTCGTTCCCGTAGTGTAAGGCAGTACGCTACCAGTACGCTACCTGCTCTATCATATTTAAGCGAGGTTGAAATGAATTTTCCAGGCTGAGCTCCAGACAAAAAGTCGGAAAAACACGGTAATGAAAACTGTGGCAATAGAGATTAAACACCTCCCAACTTTCAACGCTAGTTTGTAAATTATATCCATATTGTTTATTCCACAGTTCCCTGGAAACTCAGACAGAAATACGTACGTGACCACCACTTTCCCGAAGGCTTTCCAGGCCAGGTTCCTGCGTATCCTGCCTACTCAGTGGAGCGTGCACTGCAGTATGCGCTTTGAGGTCATCGGCTGCAAAAGTCATGAGTAATTCCGTCGTTCGTAGCGCGGGAAAAGTTTGCTCTAATGCTCGCTGAAAATTCGACAAATTTGAGCAGGGATGTGTATGTCATAGATATTATGTGGTGTTAAATTTTAAGAATGTTTCAGTCAAAACATTAATGCACATAGGAGGATCTGCAGTTACCGAGAAAACGTACCTACCGATTTAACAAGAAATCCTCGCTCAAAATGAGGATAGAACTGGTGGCCAGTTCCCTGCCAGAAATGGTGTCATTGGTAGAAATACACAAATATTGTGTATTTTCTTTGTTTTCGCTCAAAATGTATAGAATCCACTGAGCTGAACCTTCCACAAGTTAGTTGTCATTCACACTACTCAGGAGTTAGAGCGATGTTTTTGCTTTGCTCAAACGGAGGGGGGATGCACTAAAAGCACATGATCCGATGCACCTTTAACATGCCCCCCCCCCAAAAAAAAACAAACAAACAACAAACAAAACAAAAAAAACGGCATTTGCATTTCATGTGCTTTTCCAGAGACCCCCGTTCGAACTTGTTTCCGCCTCCTACATTCTGAGTCTACGATGGAAGGGCCCGAAACCGATCTAACAGTAGACCAAGATTGATGGCACAGACTTTTCCACAGTTTAAATTGTCAAATTTCCAATGAGCATTAGAGACAGGGGTTTCCCATGCTACATTGATGCCGGTAAAAGAAATCAGTTGGATAAAGACTGGTGATTAACAGAAGCTTAAAGTTACCTTATTTCGAGTTTCCATATTTTTGTTTAGATTCTTAGTGGCACAATCAGTAAGTACAATGGTATGTATTTACATATGTAATATCATTTTTGCATGTATAGGTTTTCCCGGCCAAGTTAGCAGATTTGGCGGCCAAATTGGTGACCATGCACCACGAATTTGAATGCACGTTGAGATCAACATTCAATTACCTAAAAACACCAATCAATTTCATATGAAAAGCATGCGATTTCACATTTAAATCATGCAATTTCAACAATACGGCATTCAAATTAAAATTGCACAAACGAGCATCCAAATTCGCCGGAGCTTCAAGCTGTGTAAGTTTGGTCATTCGAATTCACCATTAAGCAAGCATATGTGTAAAGTAAGCAAATTAATTCGAAATAGGTCCATGTCGTTCCGTTGTTTGTTAGAATAAGATTGAGTGCTTTCGTTCCAATTTGGAAGGGGGGGGGGGCAAGGGGGGGCTTCCCCAGGAAAAAGCCCCCTCCCCCTCCAAAAAAAAGAGGGGGGGGGAGGGGAAAAAAGGAAAAGAAAAAGAGGCGCGAAGTCATATTGCTGTAAATTTAATGGCTTGGGGGATGTCCGTGCCCCCCTCTTAAACTGATAAATCGAGAATATGCTGGGAAATACAGGCATTTTGGGGGGAATATGTTTTGCCTCCCTCTAGAAAAAAAACCCGGGACGCCCTTGACGTCCATCAAGACTCTGCGACTGCTCTGATCACCATGCAAACTGTTAGATTGAAGCCCTAGAAATATCAATATGCGGGCTAATGGGCGTTACATGAGAATTCAAATGTAGACCCTGGTCGTTTGATCGAAGCTTTCGATGGCAATGCCCAAGACGATCTTGAACTTGCAGATAAGCTGGCCATAATCAGATCTACTGACAGGTCAATTGTAGCAACGTATCTCAGATCTGGCAGACAGAAAAACCTGCAAAGAGGAGGGGCCAGAAACACAAAAATGGACCACGACCTGAAGCAGAAAAAAAATGAAAAGATGAAAGAAATTAAAAGACTCGCATCGTCTACTTTTGTTTACTTTTATTTTGGACGCAAAAAGTGCTTAATAGAATGCGCGGAAATGAAAACGAAAACAAGAATCTGATGCAAATAACCCTAAACCAAACCGACTGCTAAATTGAATGATCACTTAAACTGAATGACATAACTACAATTTAGGATGTGTTAAACATGAAAATGTCAGGTCTTAAAACGAATTTGAACGCCTCAAATCTAATACGAACCACGGGAATGACAGCAGGATGCTACTTCGCTTCAAATTGGTGACTATCAAGATGAATTTTGAATGCTTTTTTTGCGAAATTGGCTGGGAAAACCTATAGTAGAATAATGGTAAAAGGGAAATGTTTGCAAGACAAGCTAGAATATGCCATTTTTTCACTCAAAATACAATACTCCTAAAGGTACACTTTTTGGCCGGTTGCGCTCTTTTGGGCTCTAAAAACGCATTTCTCAAGAAATAATAATCAATGGAAAGATTGGTGACAAGTGGAATATAAACGTGCACACAACTATACCTTGAAAAGTGACGGTCTCATTTTGAGTTCAAATGGCATTTTTTTCACTGCTAGAAATACTTAAAGGCGAGGCAAAAATGGCTGACGCGCCACATGAAAACAAACGAGCGTATTCATCATTTTCTCTGGAAATGTCAGACATTTTGTCGGGATTTTTTTGGACCCAGAAAACAATCCCCAGATGAAAGTGCACGTGAAACTTCGATAATAATTACTTCAATCGTCACAAATTATTGTTGAAGTATTGCGGACACTATAAGAGGGCGCTATTTGAAGTGGGTAAATTTGAGTCAATACAAAATAATTTACCACTCAAAATCGCTTCGTAAACCAATGGAATGAATATTATTTATGAACTGCAAACTATTTTGTTCTACAACACTGTACAATTCCAATAAATCTTGCATGAAACTTTTGAAATATCCAATAATTATAGCTTACTTCATTATATTAGCAAACCTGGTATAATATATTAATTTTCTTAATATAGAAATGGGCATAATTATATAGATTATTACTCTTTCTTAAGTGTCCTTTTCAACATGGTTAAGCATATACATTAGTTCAGTACCTGGTGGAAATAGATAAACAGTATGAACTGGCTATATTTTTTCAGCAAACTGTTTTCTTTTCGGTTTTTTTGTTCTTTTTCTTGTTTTCCCTTAAAATATGAAGAGGTTAAAGGTAATCGACACAATTTGCAAACATTCAAACATTAAACTGTCAAATTATTCTTAAATATCCCACTTTATTGTAAGTAAATAAAATGTTTAAGCATCCTGTTAAATCATTTGCGCCCGGTATGCTGTCTTTTTCCATGCAAGAGGAATTTACCATCATTTCCTCGGGATGGTAAGGATCAAACCATCAAACTGTCAACAAAAACCTGTTTTGTGCATGAGAAATTGAAGATGCATTGTCACAATTTTCTCAAAAGCATTATATCTACTGCGCATAATTTCAACGGTTTTTTATTTTTTTTAATTTTTTTATAACAACTTGCCTCAGATTTATTGTATTACTGTTTCTTGAAACGGCAAAAAAAATATTCTTCTGCAAATTGTGGCCATTACCTTCAAGCCCATTAAATTAAATGAATATGGAGTAGAAGACACGATAGAGAAAGTTCGGCATATCTTTTCTCATTTAATAAAAGCACTTTAGATAGAGTGTAAGCGTGCACCTGCAGTGTTGTGTTGTCTCTAGATATCATTTATTACTGTTAGTGATCTCTTAAGGTGTCTCACGGCTTTTCGTGTATAATTCAAGACTACGTTTGTGCTGGTCCCAGAGGGCCAGCCTAGTGACAGTGCTCTTAGCACTTATCTAGCACAGAGGTACGCACTGACCGACCGACCGACTGGACCGGACTGACTGTCTCTTGTGATTTAGCCTTTAATAAGCCAGACCTGACCAGACCCGACCAAACCTGACCTTTCTTTCTCCTAATGAGCCTTTAAAATGCTACTGCCAAAATACATTTGCCGATTGCAGCGAAATTTGGACAGGATCTTTCTCGACCGAACTCCTACCTGAGATGATGTTAAGCATTTCGTCAGGGACACCACGAAGCACCACCGATGTACATACCAGTAAAATCTAGCAATCGGGGAAACGGCATCTAAGGCCAAAAAAATATACCTGAATTTTTTGCCTCAAATGTCCGCTGATGACTGCAAATGGTGCCCGACTAGACTTAGTGCAAATACATGGGAGTCCAGAGAAGCCACATAAAGTTTATTCTCGATCATAACCCCATCTAAAAACACGTTAAAATTGTGCAGCAGCAGGATTCCAGTCAAACCAGTGAATTTGGCGGTTTTGAGACATCAAGTAGTACGCTTCAATGTATCAGGCCTACAACTTACACTATGTGAGTGTTACTTCGGGTCAACGCGCCACCTCTCATAGAAGGAGGTGTTACTTCGTGAAAACGTTTTGCTCGCATTTGAGCAGAGTGCGCGTCATACATTACAATGGTTAATGGAACTTGAGTGTTACTTCGTGAAAACGAAAATTGTCACTTGTGCGCAAAGGTTGCCATGGATAATTAGCGTAATTATTAAAGTAAAGCTCTTGGAAATTTGAAACATCGTTCGATAGTAGGCCTTGATGAATAATGTATAAAAGTGAAAAAAAAAAAACCAGATAATTAAAACAAAAATATGGTTTAAAACGTGGAGTGTTACAATCATGGTGTCGGTGACGATTTGGGGTCAAAGGTTACCTAGTGGTTACTAGTGGTCATTTTCTTTAAAGTTACAAGCCCCCCCCCCCAATTAATGGTCCAACTAATGTCAAACTTGGTCAAATACATATCTGGACCTAAACCTGATAGGAAGTGATGAAGTGGTCATTCATGTGGTCACTCAGTGATAATTTATGAACATTCCCAAAATATGAACTGTTGCGCTTTCGCCACGTACTTCAGACACACTCACGCAATGCAATTGATAGTCATTCACCTCCTTGTTAAAAACCAGCTCATTGAGGTTGTTGTACAAAATAAGATCAAAAGGCCGATCACTCGTACATACGGTGGTCAACAGTGGACATTTTCTTGTAATTAAGTGGCTATGGAACCGGTGACATGAACATAGGTGTTGCGGGTGGAAACGTTTTCAGGTTAGAGGAGTGCCGTTGTAGCGTAAAATATCCGACTCCATGAAATGTGGACTCATTGGTAGGGATTGCACACGCGTGAGTACCTTAATATGC